ATTGCTTTCTCCGGCTACACAGGTTCCCAGATCGCCTGGAACGTGAGCAGCGTTCCCACTTACAGCACTGTATATGCGCAGCTGGCGACAAAGTTGGTAGATGAGTTGGTGGAGTCCGGAACGCCGTATCTGCCTACGGGCGTGTGGTTGAATGTGAACTTTGGGGCTGTGAGCGATGATAGTTGTACGAGTGCGGACGATTTCAGCTTTGTGCTGTCGAGACTTTTTACGGCCATTCCGTTGATCACGGCGGATGATGTGGAGACTTGTAATAGTACGAGGTTGCCCACCGAGTTGGATGTCATGTTGCAGAGTGGATGCTGGGCGAGCGTGTCGGTGGGAATGGCGGGGGATAAGCTGGATGCGAACGCGACAGTACAGGCCGTGGTATTGGAGAAGTTGGGGGGATTGTTGACTTGTTTGGATTGATTCTACTATTCCAGAGGTGGATTGTAAATAGTACTAGTACTAGTACATAGTATATAGTCAGTATAGTATAATAGGCGGAGTAGCATGTGCAGCCCTATATCCGCATATACGCCTGCAGGATGCGTGGTCCGAACATAAGCCATTATTGGTTGAAAATACGCCCTCCGACATTCCGTGTCTATAGGTTAATATGCGCCACTATTAATTTATTCTACTTAGTATTCCCCTCACTGCCCTGCAACCACACGTTCCTGCCAACATCCTCCGTGCCTGTCAGCATTATCACCCGGATACGCGCATCCAGCTGATCCTGCACAGGATTAGGCATAACCCCCGAGCAGCTACCACATGCTCTATTCTCCCGACTATTGCCCTATTGGCCCACCGCTTCCGTTCCTCTGCAGATCTGAAGATACTTGCCTATATTAGAGATGGACATAAAAGGAGCTCCCCTTCCCCCTCATCCTCATGGGAACATTCTACAAACCAAACACCCAAGAAAAAAAAAAATAACAAGTAAAGAAGAAAGAATAAAATCAGCACAATGTCCCTCCGCACCCTCCTCCTCGCCGCATCCACCCTCTCTGCCACAACATCAGCAGCAGCAGTAACAGCAAACAAGCACCGTCTGCACGCGCGCGACTGGATCGCCAGCGACGAAATCGTCGGCTTCAACCAGACCGTCCCGGACAATTCCACCGGCGACCTCTACCTCGCCTACCAGCCCTACCTGAAGGTCGTGAACGGATGTGTTCCGTTCCCGGGTGTTGACGCCGAAGGCGATACCGAGTATGTCCCCCCCTCCCTCTTCTCCCCAAACAAACCCACCCTTAACAGAACAAATCCATAGTGCCGGCCTAGCCCCCACCGGCGCCAGCGACGGCGACTGCAGCTCCAACACAGGCCAAATCTACGTGCGCAGCAACATCTCCTCCTCCAGCACGAGCAGTGAATACCCAACAGCATTACTATACAGCTGGTACATGCCCAAAGACGAGCCCAGCGATGGCTTGGGCCACCGCCACGACTGGGAGGGGGTTATCATCTACCTGTCTGATTCTACTACCGTCTCCGCGGATAATATCCTGGCTGTGTGTCCGTCTGCGCATGGCGGGTGGGATTGTTCCACGGATGGGTATACGCTTGATGGTACGAAAGCGTTGATTAAGTATGAGAGTATTTGGCCGTTGGATCATAGTTGTGGGTTGACGGATGTGGTGGGTGGAACGCAGCCGCTTGTGGCGTGGGAGAGTTTGACTACTGCGGCGAGGGATGCCTTGCAGACGGCGGATTTTGATAAGGCCATTGTGCCGTTTAAGGATAGTACTTTTGATGAGAATTTGGCGAAGGCTACTTATTGATTAGGACTAGTACTAGGGTTATGATGATGAGAGGAGGGGGATGGGGGAGGAGGGTGGGGGGGATGTACATAGTTGTGTGGGTAGTTGTGGGTAGTATATATTGAAGTTTTATATGTTGCATGATAGTCAGTCTATGTGATGAGTATCTGATGAGTTCAATGAGGGACTTGATGTAAAGAAGATGATCAGCTTATGTAAAGTGTTCCAGTTTAAGGAGAAAATAGCTAGTGGTTTTATAGTTTCTACTAGGTTACTGTTTATGTTTGTTCAGAGAGAATATGAGGCAAGTCAATATATTTAATACACTAAACAGCATAGACTAGCTATGACTGACAAGAGTAGAACTATAAGAGTAGCTAAGTAATAGCTACTTAAGCACTAGCAATGCACTGGTAGTAGTAAGGGTTGTAGGAGTGGCAGCTAGATCCGCTAGCGCACTGAGTAGCACCAGTCCAGTTGATACCACCGCACTGGCCGTACAAAGACTGGCTACCGGAGCTACCGGAAGCAGCAGAGCTGACAGCCGGAGCAGGGGTGATGGTGGACTGAGCAGGCTCGGGCTGGACCGAGGTGGTGGGCTGCACAGCCTGGGGGGTGTTGGTGAAGGTCAACAGGGTAGTCCAAGAGGAGGGGACCTGCACGGGGATCTGAGTGTAGGCGGAGGAGCTGGAGCTAGGGGCAGCAGCGGCAGGGGCACTGCTGGACTGGGCGACCTGGGTGTTGGTGTCAACGCTGGTCACGGCAGCAGCGCTGGTGGCGGCGGCAGCGGTGGAAGAAGCAGAGGCGACGGCGCTGGCGCTGCCAACGACAGCAGTGCCGGTAGAGGTGATAGCGGAGGTAGTCTGGGTGATGGAGACAGCGCCGCTGTACTGAGTAGGGCCGGGCACGGTGTAAGTGGTCAGGGTGGAGTAGATGTTGACGAGGATGCCATTCTCAGTGGCAGTGTAGAGCTCGGTACCCTTAACACCGGAGGGAGTAGCAGTACCGGTACCGGTGACCTGGAGGTTGAAGCACTGGGGGTAGTTCTGGGCACCATCCTCCTCCTCGGCGCCGTGGAGAGCGATGAGCTCGTGACGGAGGACGTAGTTGCCGGCGGCGATGGAGGGAGGGATCTCGACCATCCAGCTGTTGTTGTTGTTGATCAGCTGGTCGGTACCCCAGGTGCCGGGGACCTCGGTGTCGCTGATGAGACCGACGCCGTCGATCTTGAAGAACTCCAGGTCGGTCTTGTCGACGGTCTCGCAGCTGCCATCGCAGCGCGCCAGGTAGTCCAGGACGGGACCGTGGTGGGAGTCGGGCCAGGCGGTCCACTGGATGTTGATCTTCTCACCGGCACCGACGACAACGTGGGCCTGGGCGTTGGTGGCGTTCTCGTGGCAGATGATGTTAGGGTCGCGGTACGCATCGGGCGAGATGAAGCCGTTGCCGGTGTTGGGAGTGGTCCAGGCGGCGACCTTCGGGGGGTCGGACTCGTAGGGGAAGACGTTGATGTCGAAACCCTCGTAGTAGACACCGTCGACGACGAGGTTGGTGACGTGACCGTGGGCAGCGACCTGAGTGGCCGACAGGAGGGCCGCGAGAAGAGAGGCAGACTGAGCTTGACGCATGATTGCTAGAGTGGTTTGGAGAAGAAGGAAAAGTTTGTAGAGAATGTAATGTAATGGAATGTAGAGTTGTAAAGAGTGAGCGCGCAGCGCAATGAGTGTGAAAGCCTCAATCAATGAAGCGGAAAGCAACGAAGGGAATGATTGAAGAGAAGACTTGCTTGAGGAAGGGAAAAAACAATAGCATGGTCGAGGACCAGCATGGCTTTTAAGTCTTCGGGTCGCCCTGTCAATATTCGGCGATGCTTTACCTGTGTCACATCTCAAACCACCGCTGGAGCCATGACACCCACCCAGGAGTCTGGTCTGACCACCGCCCTAGATAGCGGGCCCGAACTGGGCCCTTGGGAAGCGCCGTAGCAATTAAGGTGAGGGCAAACGGCGGTAGGGCAGGGGCAAGTGTTCCAGATCCGTCTGATATTAAGGCTATTACCGGACTAGGGTCTTGGCTGTCGGAGAGTTTCCACTTTTGCCTCCCAACAACCTTCTGTCACCATCTGTAGAGCAGGTTCTTGTCGGTTTCACTCAGAATTCGCTTATCATGAAGAAGCTTTTCTCAATTAACAGTTCAAGAACAGTTGTTCAACGGGTGAAAGAACGCTGCGAGCGTGGTTAAAAATAGTAGCAGATGCCCGCCGCCCACTGCGGATCCGGCACTAGCCACCGAAGAACTAGTGCATCCCTAACTGGATGATAGCTCATCGGAATAATGCTGCTCCAGACTCATATAAATTAAGTCTTCCCTGACTGGACGTCCCCACCAATTACGCCCCTTGATGCTGAATAGCCGCCGTTCCTGCAGCACCCAGTCCCTGCCAATTTTCCACACACGCCCGCCACCACATTCGGGAGCGAAATTTCTGAGTTCTCCAATGACAACCAGTAGTGGGCCATCGTCTTGCTTGGAGGATAGTACAGATGGAGCGTAGTCGTCAGCAAAAAGCCTGTTGGCTCGCCGAGTTTAGTAGCGCTTTGACCGGCCAGGGTCCACGTAGGAGTCTGCTCCGTGGAAGCACTGCTGTGTACGGAGTACCCTGCACTAATCTCCAATCCCTGATCGCAGAAATGTCTACCAATTGTGCCATCACCATAGCATGCCAGCACAACCTGACGACAGCATATTGCCACGCTGCAAAACCAAGACCGTGCGACTACCAAGCAACTTTAAGAGCATTAAAGAATTAACCTTAAGTGAGACATAACGGTAACGTTGAATGACTCGCCATGGTAGTGAGCCCTTGGCAAACCGGATCGAGTGTGGGCCCTGAAACATACCTGTTTATTAAAGGCGGCCGCAGCGTCAACATACATCCTCTGCACAGTCTGCTTTCTTAATGTAGCCCTGGTCGACAGGGCAGTTCTGGCCCTGAGTCAGCGGGACTGCTCGGAATTAAACTAATATGAGCTGCTTGTAAGGCTGTATCTAGCTAGATTTGCTGGCATCGGATGTTCGGGCCGGATATAAGGGTATATTGCAGGGGCTCTGGCAGGTCTCGGAGCGGGGATCTGACCTCGCTCGAGGGCAGTTATTGGCTGTCGCATGCATCATCAGTATTCTTAGGAGCATTTAAGCGCCGTATTCACGACTGATCATATTACTGCAACGCTTTTATTATCTCGTGGTACCAGGAGAATACTGCCCACAGCATTGGTAGAAGCAGTCTGAAGAGACAAAGAGAATTGTAGAGAAGAGGAACGAGTAAAGGAGCGAATGAAAAAAAGAAAAAAAATCAAAGAACAAACTACCACTTCCAATCACTCGTTGACCCATCCCAGTCCGGCCCCGGGGGACGGGGGCACTTGGCCAGGCCCCAAGCGAACCACACCGCAGGAGACCACTTTTTCTTCTTCATATTAGTCGTCGCCATATAGAAGCCAACGATGAAACTTCGTATACACATAAGCGTATTAGCAACAGCCTTTTCTTCAGATTGCATTCCACTTACAGAGTAGACGACTCCTCGTCCCAGACGAGGTGGGACAGTCTGCCACCAAGAGGCATATAGCCCCATTTAGAAAGCTGTCTGTAGCTTATGTCAGTCCAAACCAGATGCCCATGATGAACGTAAGAAAAAGGAGGAATAAAAACGAACAGAAAGTTACTTCTGAAGTGCTCTCGGATAATCTCCCTTTTATCTTGTTCCATCCTCCAGAAACCACAGTCTTCGTCCCCACCCTCTGTACCCAGTTGTTCGCCAGCAACTATCTCCCAGGCTACATAGACTAGGAAGCCACCAGGGACAAAGCCTGAGTCATCCTGAGTGGTGTTTTTGGAGTCCAGCAGGCGCGGCGTGAATCTGGAGCGCTTTTTGGTAAGGGCACGGAGAGCTATCAATTCATCCGGCTCACAGGGTTTGGCTTGCTTGGCGCGAACAGCTGCTGGCTCGGCCTCGGTACCAGCAGCTGGGATCTGTTTATAGATCCTTATATGTGATCTGGTATTTCCATCTGTCTGCTCACAAATGAGTCGAATTGTGACGTCGGAGGCGGGAGGGTGACCTGGGCTGCCTTGGTCCTTAGAATATTGGGAGATGTGCTCCTCACACGCCTGAACGACGGTCCATGACTTCTCCATCTCGATAACTGTACCAGGACTTGTTTCAGACTCCGAGAACCAGTGAGAAAGCATGAGTGATATGTTTCAGATATCAACAAGCTCTGGGTTGATTTAGCGAGATTGGAAGGGTGTATTGACGATAGGGAATACCTCTGCGTTCATAGCATAGAAGGCTAGTATTCATAGAAGACGGAAGACTAAATGACAGAGTTAAATAAACTAACGATCTGCTGATAGAAGGGTTGCCCAAGATATTATCAATGGTAGACGACCCCTCCTGATGTGTTAATGAGGTTATAGTGGCGTCTGCGGTTTTTAAAAACTTTAAAAGGAACCAACAGCAACAGCTTTCCAACCAATTCCATCTAGAGCAATAGATAGGGAAAACTACACCTTCGGGCTCCAAAGATTGTCATAATATATTTCGTCCAGTGGGGTCTGAATGGTTAAGATTTTTATTATAGGGACAAATATCCCGAAAATATGATGTGGGCTCTCTATGTTGCAAGTAGCAGATTTCACGTCTTCCTGGATCAACCCATCAGCCTTTGCCATCACAGTGCAAATTTATGATAAGGTTAGAATCTCGACTGTTCTGAGGAAATCATAAAGCGCTAAAGAAATGTAGGACATCGGGGCATCTTACGAGAACTGAGTCTTCAGAAAGCAACAATGAATTGTTAAGGTACGTATATGCAATTTCATGAAGTTCACAATAAAAGGCCTTGGTGCGGAACGAGTAGAATACGCAATCAAAGCTTTGACTTGAAACCATGGTTCGATCTGTACAGGAAGCTATCACGAATCATCTCCAACTCTCTCCACAGGTCCGGATGCAAAGACCCGGTCAAACAAAAACCCGTGCCATTACGATCTACGTTAACGCTGATGGCACCATGCAGATAGATGCCAAGATATTGTGCCAGATCCATGGTTTCAATGCGAACGTCGAAAAGGAGCGGCCGCACACCGGAATTAGACTCCAAATCGTAGGGGTTTAACTGGGCCATGGAGGAGACTATAGTCCTGGGATGGGAGGGACTGACTGCTCGCGGATGCCAGAGGTGCCAGGGCCCCATTTGCTGATATTGGACATTGAAAGCCTCGAGGCATTCTGCTGATTGAGCGACCCGCGTCACACGGCGAATGTGGGCTGCTAGGTTAATCGTCGACTCGTGGCTGAATTGACTGGGATCGAGGTCTGGCGGCCGTGGAATTGGGACAGGCCAGAAGCTGTTGTGGAATGTGGCAGGATTGACCAGTAGGTGGTTGAAGTTGAGCATGAAACCCAGCGGGTAGGAAGTGGTTGTTGAGTCATGGGGGAATGCCCGTACATTTGCCTAGACGGAGCCCCGTTAGCTTGACTCATAGCAATGTCCGTCGCATGAAAAGATGGAGTTGACAACCTGAAGAATCAAAGCCATGAGAATGTCCACACGACTTATGCGAATATCTTGTTTCGTAGCATGATCGGCAATCTGATCAATTACTAGCGCTGGGAAGTGCATCATGCGGGAAGACCCCGTATTGCCACACGACGCTGGTGCCAGTCGGTGCCACAGTACACCCAGGGTGAAATGTGACAGTCCCCCGGAGAACAGGTGGTTACTACCAGTGCTTAGTGTGCTAGGGGAGGGGTCATGACAATGATGAGGATTGGTTGGATTGTGTGGGGCGGCGTCGAATTGGAGAGTGACTGGCCGATGGAAATCAGGAATATCAATAGGGTTTCCCGAGAGGAGAGCTGCGTAGGCCCACCCAATCATAGCCATACCTTGGGAGATACCCGGTTAGCAAGTAAATGATAGCAGTCGTGGATTGTAGCGACAGAGGGGTTTACCTAATCCATCGCAAAACGCATGTTGGAATGTGAACTTCAACACGCAGGCATCTTTAAGACAAGCTGCAGTCAGGGTACAGACTGGAGGAAATAAAGTTGTATAGATGGAGCGAGGTACTGATGTAAGATCCCTCAATCGCTTGTAGTCATCCTCCTGCATGCTATGGTGAATGATTGGATAAAAGGGGACAGTTTCGGCAAGTGTAGCGTCGATAACACGATGTTGGAAGAATGAGTGGGTTTGCGATGTAGGAAACGTCCCTGTACGCTAGAGGGCCCCGATTAGCAATTTTCCTCTACATTCAGAACAAAAGTACTAACCAAAAGGTTCACTCTGGCCTGGAGTATGGGCCATCTCTGGACGAGTTGCTGAAAGCAATTCTCCAGTTGCAATGGTTCAAATGCTTCCTCAACCACTATCACACTATGTCCTTGGAGAAACCGTGATAGGCCTCTATCGACATAATGGAAGCTCATATTGCACAATTTCTGGTGAAGCACTTGGCAGAAACTCTGTTTGGCCAGGACTCTGGCTTGAAAGGATAGACATGGGGGCATAAACCTCACCAAGCTCCCCAAAGAAGAGTTGACAAAAACAAATGAGATGATTGAACCCCTTGCATGACGATACATCAGGATCGTATTATACCATATGCTTACTAATATAATGTCGACACATATTATTCTGTCTACTGATCAGATCGACACCAATTTATTGTTTTTCTGGTCTGCAGACGAGCGCGTTGAAACGAAGAAACATGTGGCGTAGTATATTACAACACAGCTCTGTGCAGTGCTTCTCTAACTTCCCCGCAGTCTAGACCTTGGCCTTTACAGTGAGTAACTAATTTTTCTCTGACATTATTATTTATAAGAAAATTTACATAATCATACTGGACGTACAAGAAAAGGTCTGTAACCCATAAAATTTTACGACTAAGTCGACCAAGGTCACACGGCTAACATAATATGAATATAAGGTTTCCGCAAATTCTTAGGTTTAAGATATCTATTTGACCGGCATAGTTAAAGATGGTGGTGACATTGCCTCCCAGCTACTATCAGTATTTTTACATTAGCTCGGGGTTGTTCTTGGATATATCGATATCGAGAATCTTATCCAGAGTATCTGGCATGCAGATTCTCTATCTTCGCATGGCTGCTGAAACACCATCTCGGATCAAAATAAGTATCTGTCTGAACCATGGGTAGCTGTAATGTAAGTGCATATACTAGGTAGCTACCCAGATTGCCCATTCCTCCAGTCAAGAAGATAACTTGATGACAAAATTAAGTAGTTCTCATGATTTGTAGCGAATAACAAATTATTTATGCAGCATTCAAATTCCACGCTAGTCCGTTTCCTCGAAGAACACAAATCATGGAGGTCTTGCGCTCTGCTATTCTTACTCATTATCCTTCCGAACAACGTAGCACAGCAGAGCTCAAATTCTCGGGCACAAGAGTCGTGCTACTACATAGGAGGTCAATCTCAGATGACACTCCCTGAATACCCTGGAACCGGACCGATGTCCATTTCTCTGTGTACTACAATCTACACGACGATAACAACAAACGGTTCACCGAGGCAAAGGCGGATTATGGAATCAAGGGCTTACTATCTCAGACTGACAATGATCTTGTAATTTGCGAGACAAAAATGTGGGCTCGACGATCATGAGAGCATTAAGCAATGTCATTGTGCATAACCTTGGGGATGGTGAGCTCTACAATGACCAATTCGCAAGTATTGCCATTGATCCGCTCGTCGCTATCGAGCCACGAAGTTGGGCGCGCAATGACATACGGCTGAAGATCCCAAAGGACCGCACTCTCCAAGGTCAAATTGTGGTTGGGCTCAGTGATTATGTGGATGAGATGTTGAAGACAAAATATGCCCTGGGAAGGAGAGAAGACCCTAAGCCATGATTATTCCCAGTCTTCAGTTAAAGGAATTCGAAAAATGGTGCTAAGTGGTTTGACCTACCCCATCTCAGAACTCGAAATGAATCATAGGGCGTTAGAGATATTACTCGAATTTATAATATATAACTAAATTATAATATATCTCAAGTTTTGACTGCTTGCACGTCCTGAACTCTTTGACATGCAGTAGAGGTAGCAGATATTTTAACACATCGCGCACAACTGTTAAGAGAACGAGCGCTTCGATGAACCACCATGCGAAACTATGCCGATGAAGGATAATCAGCTAGTGATTCCTCGCGTCCCCAAATCGAAATCGTGTCGCTAGGCTACCGTTTTCTTTCCTGCATTGGAATAAATCAGTCTACAGCCCCAAAACAGTATATCGAATATGGATCCATCTGACAACATGCAGACTCTGTGCGCTTCTCAGATGACCCAAGTCAACACCTCATCGGCCTGGAGATAGGCTCATTCCATCGTTTGCAGCGAATCCTGACTCAATCGACCATCGGTTCGTTCTTGGCCGGGGTGCTCAGACAGTTCTCTCTGGGCGCCAAGCTGCCGAGAGTCATTCAAGCCAGCGGAGGTTGCCAATTCCTCCGCCACACAGCGGGTGAGATCTGGGGAGGCGGTTTTGTTTGTAAGTTGTCACGCATATATCCCCGGATACACGAGGTTGTCGGCCAAGACTGAGCGGGAGGTTACACTCTGCTACACGTACCCTCCACCAATGTCATGTCTATATGATTCCCTCCTGCAACAGAGTATTTACAGGCCATACCTTCCCCAGCCTTAGGAGCCGCGTTCAGTGCCCCTCATTCTTGGCATGGGTTTCTAGTGAACTCAAATCGGATTCGGTACGGATGGAGTGACCACCTCGGAAGCTGTCTGTATGGGTGTGCGAGACATCCAAGGTCTCGGCATATGTAGCCCAAGATAATCGCAGTTGCGTTCATTGAAGTCCAAGATTCTTGGGTCGGATTTGTGAGACCGAGTACTTAGATCTAAAGATCAGATTGGCTGTAACATTATCGAGCCTGAAGTTATACTTTGACGCGAATGGAACGAGTCATTTCAGCTGGATTGAGCCCAATAGACCTAAACATCCAGGTCTTCAGTGACACCGGGGTACAAATAGGCCATCCTGACCCGGGGAAATTTTGTTAAGGCACGGTGCGCCCTGCTCTACTTCAAATATACACAGAAGACCTCCCTATTAAGTGGTCCCTGGGGCTGCATTACCTAATCCCATTATGGATGACAAAGGAGGCGACCCAGAGAATCCTACCTCGACAGTTCACCACCTTGAATCACCTACCTCTACTGAAAAGCAAGATCCAAAGGTTGCTCGAGACTGGACACGCGATTTGACCGAGAGCAAGAATGTCCCCACATCCACAAGGTTGAAGAATCCACTCGCTGGCCTGACGTGTGAAGAGCTATTTCGAGATGTCGAGTCATTTGCAAGGGACAAGGGTTTGGAGAATATCATGGATGAGCTGAAAAGGGGCTCCCTTGTAGCACAAGATCCTAAGGGCTTCGAGTCCCTTGATGAATTATCCGAAAGCGATAAAGAACTGCTTCGACGTGAGAAAACACATCGGTGGAGCCAGCCATTCATGATGTACTTCATGACTAGTACGTCCTATCCACACAGACTGACACAGAGGGGATGTTAACACGATACTAGTTCTTTGTGCTGGGTCCGCAATTGTCCAGGGTATGGACCAGACGGCAGTCAATGGAGCACAAGAGTAAGTGATACACTGCGAGATGCCCTTTCTATAAACTGAGTATGGTCAGGTTCTACTTCGCCGAATTCAACCTCACCAATAGATGGCAGCAAGGGCTTCTTAATGGAGCCCCATACTTATGTTCCGCACTTATAGGATGCTGGACCACCGCTCCTCTAAACCGTTGGTTTGGTCGTCGTGGATGCATCTTCATCTCATGCTTCATATCCTTTGCCTCGTCCTTTTGGATGGCTGCGGCACACACTTGGTGGAACCTGCTACTGGCCCGGTTTCTCCTCGGTTTTGCAGTAGGCGCCAAGTCAACAACGACCCCGGTATATGGTGCGGAATGCTCTCCTGCCATCATTCGTGGTGCGTTGGTTATGATGTGGCAAATGTGGACCGCGTTTGGGATTATGTTAGGGTACATTGCTTCAGTTGCCTTCATGGATGTGACACACCCCACAATTCCCGGTTTCAACTGGAGATTGATGCTGGGTTCAACTGCCATTCCGTAAGCTTAGTCATACCCACCTAACTCACAGGCCCTAGTTGTGCTAATCCCGTACAGTCCCTTCTTGGTGTGCATGCAGGTGTACTTCTGCCCCGAGTCACCCAGATGGTATATGATGAAAGATCGCTATCAGGACGCTTACAAAGCACTTTGTAAGCTCCGCCCTTCCTCGTTTCAGGCGGCCCGCGACCTCTACTATATCCACACCGCACTACAGGTGGAGGAAAAGCTCCGGGAAGGCAAACACCTCTGGCGCGAGATGTTCACCATCCCACGCAATCGACGAGCAGCACAATCCTCGTTTTTTGTCATGTTTATGCAACAATTCTGCGGAGTGAATTCGATAATGTACTATTCAAGTTCAATGTTCGCCGATGCAGGGTTTGATAGGCGTATGGCGTTGGTGACGTCGTTGGGATGTGGTATAACGAACTGGATATTCGCTCTGCCGGCAGTATATACGATTGACACGTTTGGAAGGCGGAATCTGCTCCTCACCACATTCCCATTGATGAGCCTGTTTCTGCTCTTCACCGGGTTTTCATTCTATATCCCAGATCAGACTTCGCGGACGGCTTGCGTGGCGACAGGCATCTATCTTTTCATGATCGTGTACTCCCCAGGCGAGGGACCAGTACCTTTCACGTACTCTGCTGAAGCATTTGTAGGTCAATGTATATCAAACTGTGAGAAGAGCTCCTGCTAAACAAGACACAGCCACTTTATATCCGTGATGTAGGCATGTCTTTTGCGACGGCAACGACCTGGGGTTTCAACTTCATTGTCTCATTGACGTGGCTTCCATTGCGGGACGTCTTCAGTCCACAAGGGGCATTTGGCTGGTACGCAGCATGGAACGTCTTCGGATGGATCTTCTGCTACTTCTGTCTGCCTGAGACCAAAGCATTGTCGCTCGAGGAACTGGATCAGGTCTTCTCCATTCCCACGAGAAAGCACGTCAATCACTATGCAGGGATGCTGCCGTGGTATGTAAGGAAATATATCTTGCGAGGAGATGTGCCGCCTCAAAAGCAGTTGTATGATTATGAGTAGATGGGAAAGCAGTGATGGTCCGAACGGCAGAACCAATACATCTCGTGGGCATTTGTGCCAAGGTCGGCTCACAGTGAAGGAAGGGCAAGATTATAACTTTTCGTATCATCCACACGTCACTCGGCTTTCATTTCCATGCTCGATCTTTCGTCACAAGCCCTATCCAGACAGAATTTCACATTAGTATTTAGTTCTTCAATCATCACCCTAGAAGATTATTCCAGCTTTCTTTCATGAACGCACACTTCAAATTCTACCCTTGCTGATTAGCTGGCCCCCTCTTCAAAGATGTCTCC